TCTTGTTTCTTTCCTAACGCCTCGAGACCTCGAATATGATTTTCCATGCTATCGTAAAATTGGCGCAAGGTAGACACTGAATTTGAAGGGCATGGTAGATCTAACAAGGCTTGCATGTGTGCGTTAGTTATCTTGTGGGGTTGACCAAATCTCTGTTCCAAAATTGCAATACATTGCGCGTAGTTTGACTCTGTAAGCGGTAAACCTTCGATTGATTGCGCGGCTTCACCTGACACTTGAGCTTTGAGATATGTAATTTTTTGTATGTCGCTTAGGCTGGAGTTTTCATGTATAGCGACCTTATAAGAGTCCCAAAAGGTTTGCCATTTTAACACGTTGCCGCTAAATACTGGCAGTGCTAACTTTGGTAATCTATGACTATTTGTATTATGCGATTGTGGCGGCGTACTTTGAGTAGGAAAAACGTGTCCGTTTTGTGGTGTTGTGGTAGCCATAGGGCTAGCTAACGAATTACTATGGATTGTACTTTGATTGATAAAGAATTCTATGGTGTACCTCTTTTTAGTTAGTTCCGTTAAATAGTCGTCGGCTTCAACGATCTCCGTCTCTAAGCCCTTTTCGTCTTCGATTAGATCTGATACAGTCTCATCCAACTTTCGAAGTAATTCGATTTTCGCGTCGTACGTTGCCAGAATGACCCGTAGTTTCTCAATATTAACTTCGTTCGTTTCACCGTTTATGAGTAGTTCAGCTTCGTTCCAAATTTTAGTTGCTTGTGCACGTTGAGCGCCACGTTTTATCCTTGCGCGTTTTAGACCGTCCATCCTGGTCACGGCACCAATGTCTCGTTCGTCACTCGAAATAAGCTATAGTGTTGTCTTGCGTTGTGTTAACTTGTCTACGACGATAACGAGATCTAATGTAGCGTAGGTTCTTTCGATAGAATCAAGGACGATCTACACCATAGTTTGAATATGTATTATTTACACTAACACAAGCTCAAAAGCCAGTGCGAATACTATATACAACAAAAAGGTGATTATCAAATTATCCTGAATGTCCCAGTTATCCTAGTGCAAGTGTAATTCTATCCTAGTTCAATTAACTAACCGTGTTCGATATAAGAGATTAATAATGAACTGTTTATATTAGAATGCGTGCAAGATATCTATAATGTTCAAAGTACTGTCAATTCTCGACAAAGGTTTTAACAATATTGTTATATAATGACTGTATCGGACTTGTTGGAACAACCTTGCAACAAGTACGATAATATCAACAAGGTCGTTAAAAGTTGTTAACAGCTTGTTCCAAACTTGTTGACAACTTGGGACAAGGTGAAGCAGTGCGAACCTCCCCGAAGACACATCCTGTCTTATTTCAATACATCAAAAGTCTCTCATCTTATCCCGGCAAAACGGAGTCAGGTAAACAACCCGTAGTGTAGCTCGCCTTATATAACCTGTACTTGTAAATAATGTTTACAATTTCCTGAACACCTGCCCTTTATTACAGGTTTTAATAATCATGAAATATTACTAAGCTACATATTACTATAGTAACGTACCCGCTTTCATGCCGTTGACAACATTGAATTCAGTCACTTCATTGCTGAATAAGTTACAATCCTTTCCTTGCAAGATAAGGTAGGTCTAATTTTCTCTATGCAAATACAAAATTTTAGATTATTTTTAGAAAAATAAGAACTTTCACTGAAAAGCGTATAATTTGTCACTTTTATCATATTGCAACAAAATTTAACTTTTCGCGTGATTATCGAATATAGTATACTAACACTAACATGAAACCCTTATAACAATTTTATAATGCTATTTCTTACTTTGTATAACCAGAAATAAATTAAAACTGACGTGTCTTATATATCAGCGATATTGCACCGTTATGTAAAAAGGCTTCATTTGTACTGTACACATTATAATTCTTAAGTTATCTGTTGACACGTTTTCAAGATTTAAAACGAAGTTTATGCATTGATGAGAATTGGCGGGGAAGCGAGAGTTTGCATGAGAGTTTTCTCCGAGAAAGAATAATATCAGAATAATATATGAACTAGTTTCACAAGAGCTTGCAACAAGTCTGTTGTTAACACATCGTTTGAGACTTGAGTAAAATGTCTAGGGACGGTTGATTAAAATAAAGGCCGATTTTATACACTACACGACTTTTGCCTAAAATTGTCGCAAGCAAACTGCTTACAACTTGAGTTGTACTGTGTAAATCAAGCTACGGGAGTGTGTGGTGTATGTGGGGGGTGACACCCCCAGAAATTGTATTCGGTCGGCAGGACTGCTATTCAGTCGGTAGGACTGCTATTCACAGCATTCAGTCGGTAGAACTGCTATTTGGGTTAAATATTTTCGCGCAAAGAGCAAGATAGCGGTCGGAATTTTAGAAAATTTTTTTTGGGAGAAAATTTGTGATGTCTGGAAAACTTTTTTCAGATGTTCCGAAAAATTTGGTATGTCTGGAAAAATTTTTGGACCCCTAAAATGGTACACTGACCGAAATTTTTTTTGGCGACGGGGTGGAGGTCGCCAAAAATAATTTATTCCGGAAAAAAAAAATTTCGGCACTAGTCGGTTGAAATGACCTTACACCCCCCTGAAGAATTCCCTGAGGACGGCCCGGAGCACACAACTCACCCACGATAACGTGAGCGAGTTGTGTGCTTTATTTACACAGTACAATGTAAGCAGGTTCAATGCGACAGTTTTAGGCAAAAGTTGTGTAGTGTATTAAAATCGACCGTAAAACTCTTAACTACATTTTAACCACTATTTTTTAGATATATAACTAGTATTTAACTCTGCAATATGCGATTTTGATAGGTTAACTTTCGCACCACTAACTACAGTAAACTTTAACTACATTTCTTCATTTCTGTACAACTGCATGGCCTGAACAATTTTTCCGCGAGTATCAACAGCATGAAAATAATTAATGACGGAACAATTATTAGGTTTGGAACAATTATTACGGAACAATTCTCTGCAGCGAGAGAACGTCTTCAACTTCTAATTACACAACAAAATTATCTGATCAATGCAAGTGACAGAGAAAGTTTGATATGATGAACCAGCTTTCAGTAAATGCAGTGTTTGTTCAAAATTTAGCAAGTTATGGCTTCGACAAATCTCTTTGTGGACGCGGATTATGACACGGATGGCAGATCGCTAAGTCGTCAGAAAGATGCTCAAAGCAGGAACAGCAGTAGAAATACTTTAATCGTTGCAAGACGAAATGGAAGTGCACAAAATGGTGGCATGTTAGAAGGAAAGGAGTCTGATCCTAAAGTGAATGACCGTTATGATCCGACTGATGATGGGAAACACTCGGTATGTCTTGATCAGAGCCACCTTAACGTTTATCTGAATTAAAACCAAACGTGAATTTAAATGTAAAAACTCAATACCTCAAAAAGTCTGGTGAATAGATATCTTGAAAATGTGCTCTATCGAATCGTAGCGGGTAATTTAAAAATTCAGACGAGTTGGTTTTTGGTTAGGAACAGTTCCAGTCGTTGAGGTAGTCATTTGAAATCTTCCCCAGAGCTAAGGAAATTCCATTTGAGAGACTCTAGATTTCAAAATTGTCCCACGCGAGCAGGCCCCCTTACGACTTCAATAATGTCTGTTTAGGTCAACTAATGTTCATTTGTTTTGTATAATTTTTCGACAATGCCGTTCAAAACTGTTGTAGGTCAAAATTGGAAAAAATGTCCATCTCGGCGGTCAGGTCACTTGACTCCACCTAGCGCAAGGGGAGACCTAACCTAGCTTGGCTGTGACTCGATTCTCATATGAACACAATTCTCATATGAATTTTATATGCATTAACAAAGGTCATGTGGAACCCACTCAAGTGAGTTTCCCTTCAGCTGGGCTCATAGAAGCCAGACCCTATAATTACACGGAGAGGACCGAAGACCTCCGTATCAGGGGTCATCGTAAAAAAATTAGAATTGCTCATTTCAACAAGAACAGACTGTGAGATAGTGAAGACAGGCTGTGTGGCAGTAGGGAGAGACGAGGTCATGGCGTATTGCATACCTGAATAACTAGGAGGAGGCTGGGCCATCTTCCCCCGGAAAATTTTGAATTTAGAAGTCCGATCCAGAATGGCCATTTCCTGCATTTTCAGAGTGACATTTGATTTTGTTTTTGCCTTAAATATATGTATGGGCGTGTAATTTGTATAATTTTCACGTAAATTTCGAAAACTCAATTTTAGGACTGCCTATTTTAAGTTTTATAACTATACCCATTTTACAGTTAGAACTATACCCATTTTGGAAAAAGGGAGGCCTTAGGATGACCCTTGCAGTCCGTATTATAACAGCTACCACGATAATGTAGCCTGCGATCATGTGACTTTTAATTCTCTACTGACCTCACTCCCAATGAGCGATCTTGTATGTAGTTATGTGTATTTTGCTCTCTGGGTCCGAGATTTACGCCGCCGTATTCTAAAAGCTCACTCACACTCAATGAGTGGAGGTTCAATCTGAGCTTCTCTTGAGTGTCAATGCTGTTTTTCAATAGCTGGAGGGTGAGTAGTCACAGAGTAAGGTATGACACTAGCCCTCCAGCTATTCAAAAACAGCAATGACACTCAAGAGAAGCTCAGATTGAACCTCCACTCATTGAGTGTGAGTGAGCTTTTAGAATACATCCGAAAGAGTGAAGCTGAATAAGCTGTATGTCAATTTTGGAACAAGCCAAGACAGCTTTTTCTTTCTCATATCATTCAATTTACCTTTACAGCCAGTTGAAAGTGACAGAGACGATCCAGCAGACGAAATTGATTCTGATCGCGAAGCCGAGGTAAATCGTTGACATGCATAATCTTCTAAAAAATAGAAGTTAACTTTCGTTAAGAAATTCACGGCCGGTAAAATTCAAACGAGAATGAGAGTTGACAGTTTGCATGCGAGTTTTCTCAACTCTCATGCCCCAGTCAAACAAGAACAAGAGTTGCATGAGAGTTGATGAGAGTTGAGAAAACTCTCATCAAAATTTGAGCCAGTTCAAAGTTGATGAGAGTTGATGCGAGATGGTGGTCAAATGGAAGCGAGGCTTGACTTTATCAATACCAGTTTGGTTCATGGCGTAAGATTTGTTTATAGAAAATATTCACCATAACGAAGAATTACTGCGAAATCACATTAATGTGTCTTTGACTCTGCATGTTACGGGTATTTTTGTCACAGGAAGATGAAAGCTATGCATACAGTATGGATTACGCAGAATTTGAAAGTGATACAGAAACGCCGAGGACCGAGAATAAAGGGTAAGGAATGGCCAGAATAAAGGGTAAGGAACGACTTTGGAAAGCCTTGGTCGTAAAATCTTGGTTCGTTCGTTACGCGCGTGTCCACATGTTGAGCCACAAATCTCCAATTTCCGTCTTTCCAAAATCACGTGTTTCGCTTTGAGAAGTCTTCTTTAAAATTCCTCAGCCACACTCCTTTTCTCTTGGCGCCCAAAGAAATCCACTCCGTCGTGATTTTGGCCTCATTCAATCCTTGCGCTTTGGTAGTTTATTGTTTATTGATTTTCTCACTCATTGATTTCCTAAAAGGCTATATATATATATATATATATATATATATATATATATATATATATATATATATCTTGTTTGTCGATGCTGACACGTATCTGAAGAGTGCTCAATGCAGGTAAGATTTTGCAGAGCAAAACTATTATTAGTGTAGACTAAGACATGATATCTGAAGATAATTTAATAAAACCTAAACTTTTATCGTAAATAGGTTTAGGTTTTATTAAATTATCTTCAGATATCATGTCTTAGTCTACAATATATATATATATATATATATATATATATATATATATATATATATATATATATATATATATATATATATATATATATATTGCCAAATTGATAGGAGATCCGAGGTATAGCTATAATTTAACGTTCTTATCCGAGAAGACGCGAAAGTCTAACCATCAGGCCATTTTTTAACTATATAACAACTGGGGCATTTACCCCAGTAGGCCCTTTGCTTGCCCCAGTAGTGAATCATGATTTTCAGATGAACTGGGCCCTTTTGATCATTAGTACAAGGTTAAGCTTGTTGATAAAGCTGTATCTGCCTGCATTCTGATAGCCTCTCACATTCTCGGCATTCCCTCTTATAAAAGTCGGCACAGGCAGGGGCGGCGCTAAAAGGGAGTTGTGGGTGTGGAACACCCCCAATCGTCAGGTAGTCGGCAAATTATCTAATCCCAGTTGGATGAAAAGAAATACTAATTAGCGTTTGAAATTAGTAGGCAATATTTCACTTACACCCACCCACACACCCACCCACCCGCCTATTCAAATAGCGCCAGCGCTGCCCCTGAGCACAGAGTGATTTTTGTGTACCCGTACAAACTGTGGGGAAAAGGCCCTCATTGAGCCCCAGTAGTTGTAATTTCTTAAAAAGTGCCCTGCTAACCATTTACTGATGTCAATGTGAAGGTATCTCCTTCTCTTCAATTATTTTAAGACCTTTAGTAGAGGTCCGATCATATCAATGACTGCATGAATCCGGGTTTCCAAGCTTGAAAGGCGAGCGTGGTGATCACAACACCACCAGTGCTGTTTTTTGGAGCTGGTAATCAACTCTTTCAAATATAAATAAGAAGTCGACAATTACAAAATTAAAGAGATCGTATTTTTTACCATCCAGTTCAAAAGGCGTCAAACTACGAGTGAAGGAGCCATCAAGAAGATTGCCATCAAGCAGGTGGAGAACACTCAATGTGTTTGATGATGATGATGATGAAAATAAGCAGAAGTAAGTGGATTAGGAAAATTAGTACATGCACCTTTTACCTTTGCGACTGGGAATTTGATTCCTACATTGTGGAATTTTTGCCTCAGTTGCGATTTACTGTAGAACGTTTTATTCTATCCAGAATAAATACAGTTTAGTTTGGCTTAGATTAGCAACATAGTTCAGGATAGCATAGGATAGCATAACATAGCATAGCATAGCATAGCATAGCATAGCATAGCATAGCATAGCATAGCATTTGTACCCGTACCACTTTTTTGGTTCTTGGACTACCTATTTAGCTAAGCCCCGTTTACACTACGCTCAATTTTTGGTACCGTACCACTTTTTGGTTCTTGGACTACCTAAATAGGTAGTCCAAGAACCAAAAAAGTGGTACGGGTACCAATTTTATCCATGCCGTACCAAAAATTGAGCGTAGTGTAAACGGGGCTTTCAGCTTAATTTAACATAAATTTCTGGAGATTTAAACAAAAACTTACGCACTCCTTTGCTCTTTTTTACTGTTTTAGAGCCAAGAATTCAAAGAAAAAATCTGGGTAATTTAGTCTTCAACCAGTCACAATTATTAATGACGATCATTAAAAATCTGATGAAGCAGTTAGAGCAAATGATGTACTTATATTGTATTCTTAGCAGTGGCAAAAGCAGGAAGAAGTCCAGCAATTCAAAAGATAATGCAGTCAGACCTCAATACATGGAATCCTCGACAGAGAGCGAAGATGAAGACGATAGAAAAATTGATAGCAGTTCGGTAAATATAGAGTTTTATTCGACATTTATTTAACATATTAAAACAGTGTGCGTGGTTGCATGCCCGGAATAAAATTAACTTGCCATATGGTTTGGTTTACCTTCGTATATTAGCAAAATTTGAAGCAAATGATTGCAATAAGGATTGATTAATGAATATTCTAATCTTAATATTTCCTTAGCAAAGTTATTTGAAGACTTAATCATGAAGTGTTGATTTCAGCTGATTTACTAAAAAGCGCTAGCACTAACAAAATTGCTTTCATTAAAGTAGTTTTTTTTCGTTTTTAGATGCCTGTTGGGGAACTCACGTCCGAATATTGGCAAATTCAAAAATTAATTAAGTTTGTCAAGGTACAATTGAGTCTATGCAATAACTTAATATATTTATACTGGACAGTTATATCAGTTCTACAGTAGTAAACTGTTCTCCTCGAGGTACAGAAAAGCGTTAATGTGTAGTGAGGCAGCGCACTATTCTCGACACTGATGTTTCATCAGAGTTACAGTATGTGTTGTTGCGATCTCGATTTTGCGATGGATTTCTGCCTGGATGTCTTGCGTTACAGCTTGCGCTAATTCCAATTAGCGAACGTAACAAATGGATGTCCACTCCAATTAGCAAATTGCAATTAGCAAACGTAATAAACGGGAATTGTTAAGCTCGTGTTACCTGAGTATCAATCTGATCTCTCTGGACTCAATTGTATTCTTTCAAAAGCAATACATGGAAAATGTATTTGTTTCTTTTTGAAAGATTCGTATAATCAAGGCTACGAGCGTTTAGATGCTCATTTCAATGAAAAGCAGTGATCTTTCAAGAGCGTCTTTAATAATACGAAATAGCCAATGGGTGCTCAGTCATTTTCGCGATCTATCTATTGGAAGGGGCAAGATCGAGGCTGCACTTTCCTTGCGATAGTAACTGCTACTTAACAAGGTAATCTGAAAGGGCTCTTTTCGCATAAGACTGATGGTATCACGTTCATTTCTAGATTGGAAATCAAACAGCGACTCTCATTGCTTTATGTGCCCTGAATGACTTCGACATGCGGTCTGAAATATGTCAGATGGCTGTACGTGATGTAAATGGACTCGTGGTGCTCACCAATATGTTAAGAACGGATCATGATAAATGCAAGGTAAGGCTTCGTTATGGTTGCCATTTTATGTTAAGCGGGTCTTTGAAGTTTTTGCTTGAAAGCTTTGCCATAGGATATCATTTTTCCACACTACCGTTCCAAAATTACCGATTACCAGTTGATTTCTTACCGATTAAAGTTGCGTTTAAGGTTTCGATATGGTAATTCACACTCTTTTTTAGATCGCCACGATGAAATTGCTCAATCCGCTCACGGACAAAAGCAAATATAACAGAAGAGAACTGGTCAGATTTGGAGGTATAACTAGCTGGTATTTGTGGTCGTTGAGGTGCTGATGGGACAGTTGGGTGGTGAAGGTGCCTTCTACTTTTGTGACGGGGCGTCAATTCCCCAGTTGCAGAATTTCTCCTCAATTACATGCGAGAAAAATACTTCCCGTTCCACTCTGCCAAACATCACAGGCTCCCTCCGACGGTTTCCCAATATAGTATACACATCCCCCTCCAAAACTTTCCAACCAACCCAACCTCCCCTCCCCCACACCTTTTTACGACAACTAGCTGTTTCAAAGACCAAAATTTGACCGGTCACCGCTTGATGTGTTATCCACATTAAGTATAGATTTTCGGCACTTTGAAAATCATCTTGCTCAACAATCTTCAATTTTCAATTCCTCCTTTTTGAGATGTTTAAGGAAGGGGGGGGGGGGACTCATACTGTACCGTAAGACTAGACCACTAGGACTCTTACTGGACGTCTTGGAAAAACAGTTTAGAACGGATAGGGCTATATGGTATAAATAGTTAAGTTTAGTTACCCTTCTGCCAAATCCTTTCGCATTAACACTGGAGCAATTGAGAATAACCTTCACTTAACTTCAAGAAGTTAAGTAATGATAGACCTATCAAATATAAATAAAGTTATTTTAGTTTAGATTTACTCCAGCATTAACACTGGACAAGGTGACCCTCAGTGGACCTCTAGAAAGAGCAGGTTACAACTGATACAGCTATCCATTATAAATGAGTTTGTCTAACTCAGTTTAGTCTAGCTGATGTTGCAAAGATATCATTTGACCAAAGCAAAGTTTCTACCGAGTAATAGAACTTATAAATCGTCTTCTCCCC